TGGCTTGGCTCCTGGCCAAGGAGGAGCAGGCCAGAGCCCCTTTTGCTTCCTTTTCCTGCCCATGCCGCTTCGGGAAGCCAGCTGCGGGTTGCCAAGAGGTGACATGAAAGAGGAGGAAACTCAGTGACCTCTACCTCTCCCGCATTCCTCCACGCTGGGGAGGACTGACCTGCTCTGCTGAAGGACACCGGGCGTGTGCATGCGTGCGTTGTGCGCGCGTGGGTGTGGGAGTGGGATGGGAGCAAGCTCAGTGGGCAGACTGGGTCTGGACTCTTGGATTCTGAAAAGGTTCAAGCATCCAGGAGTCACACTCACTCCCCTCCTCGATGCACTTTGGCATTCTCGTGGTGTACCCCCCCGACACCACGGCAATAAATGGTGTGGTTGCGTGGACACAGCTGGCCTGTTCTTCTCCACCCTTCGTGTCTTTTCTGCCGAGGGCTCCACTGCTAATTTGGGCCCATCTTCCTCTCCAAGGAAGACGAATTAAGTTCCTTTTTCAGCATTGGAGTGGAGGGGTTGGCGGTAAACAGTTGACAGGCTCTGGCAGGGCAACTCTGGCGTTCCTCAGCGCCTGCCAGGAACAGCGGCTCTTGGCCAGGCAACACTGTTTCTGCTCAGTTTGCCCACAACTGAGGGCTGGCCAGCCTCAGAGACACCCTGGGGGAGTGGGCCATCTGTGTACACGTCTCATGCTAGGTGCTTAGGTTGAGAGCTATACGACTGCTTTTGTGGTGAACAGTGGGCCTGCTGGTTTAAAAACCTTGTCCCTAAATGTACGTGCGTGAAGCCTCTGAGGGAGTCACCAAGAATGCGCCAGGGCAGGGCAAGCTCAAGACCGACAGGGTTCTCACCTCAGCGCGTTAGAATCACTTGGGTGGCTTTTTAGAACACCAATGCCCCAGCCCGACCCTCCGTGAGATAAATCGGTGCCTCTGGGCTGGCCCAGAGTTGTTCTTTTTTTTTTTTTTTTTATTGATTTTTTATATTTTTGTGGTGTCAGTTGTTACTTCACTGCATTTCTGATATTTTTGGTCACCTCTTTTTTTTTCCCTAGCGAGCTTGGCTCAGTGGATAGGGCGTCAGCCGGCGGACTGAAGGGTCCCAGGTTCGGTTCCGACCAAGGGCACATGCCTGGGTTGTGGGCTCAATCCTCAGTGTGGAGTGTGCAGGAGGCAACCAATCAATGATTCTCTCTCATCATTGATGTTTCTATCTCTCTCTCTCTCCCTCTTCCTCTCTGAAATCAATAAAGAAATATATATTTTTAAAAATATCACTGCCCTTTGACGTGAATATGGACTGGTGGGTCCCTCAGACACACAGAAGTGAGAGGGAGTAGAAGGGTTCTGCTGCATCTTAGGAGGTATTTATCCTCAGATGGACAGGAGGACTCCTACCACAGACAGCCCCACGGGCCAGAAAGAAAGACAAGATGGTGGCCAAGAGAGGCAGGCAGCAGCCGGGGGCCCTCGGGTCCCCTGGTCCCTCATGCAGGGCCAGAGTATAGCTACTTCAGCAGGGAAGCCCAACCAAGTGTTTCCCAGCTTGGAATCAGAGATCTAGACTTCAGAGGCAGTGAGGAGCACACAATGTATTTTCTTTGTTCATTCCTTTTGGTTTTCCTTTAAATTTTAGTAAAGTTCATTCCTACTATGATTCAGCTGGGCTAAGGGGAAATGAGAAGATTTGGGTTTGGTTTGGGCTAGAGTTATAAAAAGGCAGAGGCAAGAGCCAGGGGCCCAGCAGCAGAATGGGGAGGGATCAGCTCAAGGAGAAGGAAATCCAGGCCTGGGCAGCGCCTGACTCCTCACCTACCCGAAGCTTCCCTGGCATTCTCCCTGCTCAAAACTTGGAGGGGATGTGGTCACATCCTACCTGGCAGACAGGACGAAGAGGTTCTCAGTGTGCCCAAGACAGGCCGAGGTGGGCAGCAGGAAGCCTGCCTGCTCCTGGCTCCCAGCACCCAGGCTGGCCCCTGCTGTGTCAGCCTGCGGTCTGGCAAGGCCTCGGAGGGACAAGGGGAGGAGCTTCTCTTCTGAGGGCAGTCCCCCCTTCCTGCTCACTTCCTCCCCCCAGAGACATTTAGGCAGGAAGGCAAAGTAAGCAACACCTATTTACTCAGCAAGGGACACAGTCCTTGGAGTGACCTCCCCCAGAAACCCCTTCATATTCCAAGTGCCTGAGAACCTGGTGTAGAAGAGAAGATGCTGTCTCGGGTTCAGATTGTTCCCATATCCCCTTGAGCTCTGGACTCCTTGCTTGGTTACAGGCACTGTCCCTTCGGGTGCAATGTAGGGACCTGCTCATGGTGAGGAGAGATGGAAGTCCCCCTGAGAAGCAGGAGAACTATCCTGTCCCCAATACAACAGGATCCCTGATTGCCAACCTCCTGCCTCCCTAAGAGGGAGGGGAAGCCATGTGGAGGGAGCACGGACAGCAAATCCGTGTCTACTTAGGGCACCTTTCTATCTGTTGACTGGGACAACAGATGATTCCTGAAGCCTCTGAAAGAGCTGGCTTTGTAGGTCTTCCTCCATCACCTTCCACCAAACAAAGTTCTCACCCCGAACCTCTGGGGGCTCATTTTGGACACCTGGGTTCCGAAAAGCCACCGTCACCAGCACATTCAGGCAGACGCCATCCATATGGCCTTTGCCCAGGTGCTGTAGCCCCAGCAACCCCTTGGTCTCCACTGCCAAGTGGTGCAGAGTCAGACACTCCTGTAGCAGCCGCAAGATGGCTATGTTGATGCCACCCCTCCGCTCCATAGGGGTGAAGCCACAGGCAGTGATGGGCAAGTGAGGCTCCCCCACTGTGCCTACCAACACCCACACTGTCTGGGTGGCCACACTGGTAAAGGTGGCCACGAGCCGCTGACAAACCACACTGCAGGGAAGCTCGTGGGGCAGAATGCGAGGGTGCCTGGCCTGATGGCGGTACTGGGCAGCCAGTTCAACCAGGTGCAGAATGTCATGGGCTCGCAGAGGAGTGGCCAGGGAGGTTCGTGGGTACCAGCCAGCCTGCAGGGACTCGGCATCTGCCTCCTTGGAAGTCTTGAGCACTCCACCTGGGGGAGAGGAGGGGGGGGAAGGGTCTGTGTTGACAGAAGTGCTAGGGCTGGCAAAGAGCCCACCGAGGCACTCTAACCCTGACTCGGAGGCTGGAATCTGGAGATGCCAGGCTTGTACCAGCCAGAATAGGGGCTGATCTCAGCTGAGGACAAGCAGGGGGAAAGCTATCAACTGCCCCCTGCCCGCACTGCCACCAGGTGTGCTGTACTAGTACCTGTGGGCTGAGCAAGGAACGCGAAGCGGATCCAGGAGGGGCCCCGCTCCTCCACAGACAGCAATGTCAGGGGCTCGCAGTGCAGCCCGGCCTCCTCCTTCACCTCCCGCTGCAGGGCCTCCACGATGGTCTCCCCAGGCTCCATTCTCCCCGCAGGCAGGTACCATGACCCATAGCATTCTTTCTTGGCCTCCTGGACCATCAGCACCTCATCCTGAGGGGAGAGAGAGAATCCTCACCCTCACACAGCCAGGCTGGGATCTCCGAAGGAGGGGGGGCACAGCCAGCAGCCTTCCCCCGCCGCGGGGCCAGGTCACATCTCAAACACAGTCACCCAGTACCCCCTTACTAGTGGACACCCTCAAACCGCTGAGCTCTCCTAGGGAATGGCCCCTGAGTGGCTGCCAGCTACCGCTGTCCCTCTCTGCAATGTACCCCTGTGCATTCGGACTTCCATTGCAGAAAGGGGCTGAGATTCCTGGGAGCTGCTTCAGGGGCTGGGGATCACACCCCACAGTGGGGGTTGCCATGCGTCCTGCACTGTCCGCATATGTTACTGTCTCTCTCCTCTCCCCTCTTGTTTTGCAAACTGCTGTGGCCTGTCCTCACACTGAAGTCTAGGCTTTGAAACATGCCCCCACGGACACCCCCTCTAACTCCTACCTATGGCCTTGGGCCCTTCTAGCTGTTGTCACAGCAACTTGTACTGAGATCAGCACCAAAAAGAGCATCACACAGGAGCAAGGTCTGAATGTGAGCACAGGTTGCGCCCTCACTGCCCGAGGGACCAGGGGAGGTTCCTGCATCTTAGAGAGCGCCCACTCCGCCAGCCTGTGCTCCCTACGTTGCGGGAAAGGAAGAGGAATACGAGCGCTGCCCGCTAGGGGCTGAGGCCTAGTGCGATGAGACAGACATGCTCCTGGACTCGGTTTTTTTCCTCTGTGAGGGCGTCTGACAATCGCAGGGTTCAGGGTTCGGCGCACAAGGCTCAGTGTTCAGTATGACGGTGCTTTGCAAAACTGGGAAGCGCCACCCACAAAGAAGCGCTGGTTCCTGCCGGTAGGTCCTCGGTCCCCACGGGGCTGGCTGCGCGCTCCGGGGGCGGGCGGCGGGCCGGGCCGGGCCGGCGGCGGACGCTCACCTGCTCGTTGAGGAACACGGCCAGCACCACGTAGCAGACGTTCCTCCGCAGCCGCACGGGTGCCGGCAGCTCCCCGGCCGGCTCCGAGTCCCAGCTCTGCACACGCAGCCCCTGACCCGCCAGCACCGCTTCCAGCTCCCCCGCCGGGCCTTCCGAGGCCATCCGGTCCCCTGGGAGGCGGCGGCCTGGGCCCGCAGACCCGCAGGCCGGGCGGGGAGCGCCGTGGGGGAGCCCCGGTGCGTTGCCTGGGCCTCCGTCCCCTCCCCCGCAGACTCGCGCCGGGAGTTCGCGAGCGAACACGGAAGCGCCGGCCGAGCCCCGGCCGCTGATAGGCTGCGCTTCCCCGCGGCCGGCCCGGATTGGCTGACCCGCGTCTGTCATCGCGGAGGCGGGGCCAGTCGGGGCCAGGCGAACACCACCCAGTTTGGGCTTCTCTGCCCGTTTCTCCTCGCCCTCTCCCGGTACCTCTAGCCGCCACCCTCGCTAACATCTCCAGCGCGCACAGGCCCGCACCGGTTCTGACGGTTGCGTCATCCTGCCTGTGGGCTGCGGAGCGCCACAGTAGCCAGCGACGGTGACGTCACAAGCCGAATGACGTCACGGAGGTCTTGGGCCGCGATGCATTGTCCAGCTTTTTTGTCATAAACATACCACTGCATTGCCCAAAATGATCACGTCCTAAATAACCTCTTTTTTTCCCACCAAAAATGTACTGTAACAGAGGACATAAGCTCTTGCCTTGGAGGAGATTCTGATCTAGTTGGGACGGTAGATGTAGACATATAATAAAAAGTCAACTCAGGGTTATAAGCCGAGAGCTAAATGACTGGTTTGAGCTGGAGGTGTGACAGCGCTCAGAGGAGGGAGGGAGCAGGGCTGGGATGGTCAAGGTGTGGCTGGCAGTGGGAGAAGGGGGATGGGGCAGAGAGGTCCTGGGATCAGCGTCCCAGCCCCCTGCCTGGCATCTCCTATTCTCTTTCAGCGCCCTCTACCCTGCAGCCTGGGAGCCCCCGTGAGCAGGGGCCAGTTTCTGCGCCTTCATCTCTGTTGCCCCCACCGCCAGCTGGCTCAGCCTGCTGCTCTGAGAGCAGGGTGTGGATTTTGGCGAGCTCCTGCTTCTCTCCCAGCCTGACCTTTCCTCCTCAGAGCTTCCTTTAACCACCTCTCAGGACAGGAAGGCAGGGCCAGCTGGAGTGAAACTGTGAAGCCAGCCAAATCTGGGATCCTCAGTTAAGTCTCCCCTTTTCCTCCTACTGCCTTTGTGCACCTCCCTCTGTGTGTGTGTGTGTGTGTGTGTGTGTGTGTGTGTGTGTTGGGGGTGGGGTGGGGGTGAGGAGGTTAGTCGCTTGGTGGAGCAGACAACGCAATGGACTTGGAGCCAGATGCCCGACCTCTGCCCACTGGCTGGCTGTGTCCCTGGGTAAGTTGTGAGCATCAGTCTCCCCATCTGGGGGTTGGCTCACAGCTTTTCCTTCACAGGGTTCTTGGGAGGTGAGATGTCATGGAGGAGCTCCATGGGCTGTTTACCAGGCAGCCCACCAACTGCCCCCACCCCCGGCTGGGCCCTCCTGGCCACAGCACTTGTTGCTACAACACAAAGGCCCACTTTCATGAAGTGTGCCTTCAGGGCCACCATGGAACTAGTAGACTCTAGGGAATTCCAGCCACACCACGTCTGCCTCCTTAGGCCCTTCTCACACATGAACTGAGATCCCTGGAGGCGGGCGCTGTATGAGGCTGTGGGCCCACACTCTTTGGAGGCACTTGCTGACGCTGCTGCTCCCAGCCCCAGACCTATTGCCTCCCAACAGCTGAACTCACCAGGCTTAGAGGCCCATAGCACTGCAGAGTCACCTGTTAACATGTGTGTGTGTGTGTGTGTGTGTGTATCCCCCAGTTTTCCCATCTGTGAAGTGGGGACAGCGTTGGTCCCAGACTCCTTTCTGCCTCCCGGGGATGATTTGAGAGAGAATGAGGTCATGTCTGGGCAGGGCTGTGAGAGCCTCAGAGGCAGCCTAAGATAAACACCAGACAGCCTGCCTGCCTAGAAGAGCAAAGACTTCAACAAACCACGGCTCCACTCCCCCCATTATCGCTGGGAAAAGTGCTCCACTCCTCTGAAGTGGACCTAATCACCTCTGTGGTGAGGAGCACAGGAGGCAACTATGAAAGCCGCTTGTAAACTGTGAAGGGCAGCCCTGGCGAGGCCCTCGGACTGTGCCAGCCCTTCCTGGGAGCTGAGGGAGACAACAGAAGGCAGGCTTTCTCAGGCTTTGGGAGGAAGGGGGCACACCCCAGACTGAGGCAGGAGAGGCCCTGAGACAGATGGGAAAAGCTGAGGATGGGGGGCTGAGATAGAAACCTTCAGAACCAGAAACAAAGAAAGGTCTCCCTCATGTCTGCTCCGTGCCCTCCATTTCCAGAGAGGGAAGATCGCTGGCAGGTGGGGCTGGCCATGCAGCGGGGTGGCCCAGAGTGTCCACACAGTACAGTGCCCACAGGAGCGAAGCCTGAGCCAGCCATTCCTGGGCACATGGGCCCACTTATGCATGTGAGTAGGAGTGCAGAAGGGCAGTGTAGGCAACCTCAGAAACCGAAGGGATGGCATGGGCAGGCGGGGCGGGGCAAGGGTGTCTGTAACACCAGAGTTGGCCACAGAGCAACAAACCCTGTCCCTTGTCAAAGTGGGAAGGGTAAGGAGGGCAGTAGCCCAGGGTTAGGGAGGAGGTCTGGCCTCAACCTGGGCGATGCCACTAGCTTGCTGTGATCTTGGGAAAGCCACATCTACCTCCTGCGTCATTGGTAAGACACAGGCAGAAGTGAATCCTGAAACAGAATGGACATCGAGGGAAAACTAGTGAATCTCAATAAAGTCTGTTGCTTAGTTAATAGTGTCGTATGGAAACCAATGTCTTAGTTCTGATCATTGTGCCGTGGTTATGTGCCATGTTAACACGAGCGGAAGCTGGCTGAAGGATAACTGGGAATGGTCTGTGCTATTTTGGTGACTCGATTGTCAATCTACAATCATTTCAAAATGAAGAATCTAGAAAATGTACTTTATCAGAAAAAAAGAAAGAGGTAGCATGAAGTATACACACCTGAGGTCATTTCTAGCACTGAGGGTGTGCCTCGCCAACCGGCCCAGCGAGGGAGGCTGGAGGTGAAGGTGGGCAGTGGGGCTGCTGGGAAAGCAGAGGCCTGAAGAGCAGGGCTGGCCTGGGTGGGGGACAAGCTAAGCCTCTAGAGGGCCACCAAGTGCCTCAAGGCTCAAGGCCAGTCCCCATCTGAACTGGCTTCAGCCCAAGGCCAGTCCTGGGACAGTTGGTCCAGCTGCTGTTTGCATGGAGCCCGACCCAATATTCCCTGGAGGGTACTGTGACCCCAAGCAGAGGTCTGTGGGGAAGAAAGAGACCCCATGGCAGAGCCACCCCCGTCTTCTCAGAGGAAGGACCCTGCATTTGGTGTTCTGGGGTGACATCAGGACAAAGCTATATAAGAAGTGTAGGTAGGGATGGGTCACCCAGTGCCACTTGGAACATGATCAGCTATAAAGTGCATGTATTGGAAGGAGGACAGAGCAGACAGCAGAGCCATCTGCAAAGGCCATTAAGCCCCAAGTAAATGAGGCGGCTGGAGTCAGGACAAGTGGTTCAAATCCCAATTCTGCCACTGAAATTGCAGTGTGGCCTTGGGTGACTCACTTAGCCCCCCCCCCCCCCCCCCCCCCCCCCCCCCCCGACCCCAGCCTGCCTGTTTCCTCTTCTGTGTAATAGAAATAAATAACATCTACCTCAGAATCATGACACCGGATGAAATGAAATCACTTAAAGCAGGGGTCCTCAAACTACGGCCCGCGGGCCACATGCAAATACAAATGTTGTATTCGTTCCCGTTTTGTTTTTTTACTTCAAAATAAGATATGTGCAGTGTGCATAGGAATTTGTTCATAGTTTTTTTTTAAACTATAGTCCGGCCCTCTAACAGTCTGAGGTCAGTGAACTGGACCCCTGTTTAAAAAGTTTGAAGACCCCTGACTTAAAGGAAAGCAGTGGCACAGTGAAGTGTAGGAGTCCCTTAATATTTTGTTTTTCTATCACATGAAAAAATGGAAATAATCTAGCTTTGCAGACAACGAAGGAACGTTTTTTGGTGTTTTTTTTTTAAATGATGGATGGCTATGTAAATCATGGCAAAGCCACGTAAGGGAATATAAGCAGCCATTAATAATGAAGGTTAGGTAGCAACCCAGGAAATGATCACAAGAGCGTTGGTTAAAAGAGAGAAACCAAGTAAAAAGCAAACCAATTCAACTGCATGTAACACAGATCCTTTACACGAGGAAATACTAGGAGGAAATATACCAAAATACGATCAGTGGTTGGGTTGAGAGTAAGTGGAGAGGGAATTACAGGTGACATTTCTTATTTTCTAAATGTTCTGAAAGTGTATTAAATTTATAATAAAAAAATTTATTTTATTAAAAAAATCACACACACATTTCCCGAACCACCGCAGAACAATCAGGTATGACGAGTGGGAGCATGCTGGCTGAGGTGTGCTAGGGCAGGGGAACAGGCAGAGCCACAACAGAGCGCCGTGGGGATGGGGAGGGGCTGCCAACCAGCGCAGGCAGCAGGCCAAGCCCTGGCTGGGGCTCTCCTGGGCCACACTCCCGGAGCTCCAAGTCAGATCAGATGGAAGAGATGGGGTAGCCTGGAGTTTTCGGGGAGGGTTGGGGTTAAAGCCACCTTGTTGCTGTGTCCAGGGTTCTGCCTTGCTATTGTCGCTTGTCAGGAGCATCCTCAGGGTACCCCCCTGGAAGGCTCCATCTGCTCAGTGAGAGGGAGGGACCCAGGTCCAGGGAAGAAGAGCAGGCAGGGTGTCTGAGGCCCCTGTCAGGGCCAGACCAGCTCCTGCCCACCTGGTTCCATTTCCATGTCTCCCCTCCCTCCCCAATCTGTGGCCAGGAGGAGCAGGGCCAACACACTGGCCTGGTGGCTTTCAGAAAACAACAGACTTTAATGGAAAATAGGAAGGAGGGAGGGGAGAGGAGGGAACAGGGACAGGGCCTCACCCCTGTCATTCCCTTCAGCCAAGCCTGGGTAGTGTCCTGAGGCCGCCCCCGCCTCATGCGTCACAGCTCTCTCTTGAACAAGAGGGCAGGATTTCAGTGGCCCCTTGTCCAGATGCCTGCAGTGCATGGGCGCCCAGAGTCCCGTGAGGAGGTGGGTGTGTAACAGAGCTTGGCGCAGGTGGGAAAGCAGGAGATGAGGGAGCAGAAGGTGTTGCTTAAGCCAGAGTGATTCCCA